AACTGTGGAGACCCAGTTCTGACACATGCACTCCACAGTCAGACCACACATCACTGTGGTTGGAGTTCTGAGTCCAGTAATCCAGTTGCGGGGGGCGGGGGGATGGTCCCTAAAGAAATCTTGGTAGAGGTGACCCTGGAGCTGTCTCTTGTGTGCCAGCTGGGGCAGGGTCTGGCTCAATCCGTCACCCACATCAGCCTACATATACATACACTGCTGGTTGCAGTCACCTGGTTAGTTCTATCCCCAGCCATGTCTTCTACATAAACCAATGGATGCTGAGGCCCAGCACAACTCTGCCCACCACACACACTGCCCTCATGTACACCAGTGGGTAGTTTAGTCAGAAGTGACCCCCAATGACCCCTATTAGGCCCGCCCCAAGTTCTGATTCCTGCACATGATGGTATGTGCAGCATACTGGTCCAGGCTGTCCCACATCCCAATATGTCAATGGACATTGGTGCCTAGCTCAACCCAACCAACCCCATTATCCAATCCACTCTCATGCCAGCAGGTACCACCCTTACTACCCTGACTATCCAGGCCCGCCCCAGCCCTAGTTTTCATGAGCACCAGTAGAAGTTGCAGCTCATCAAAGAGGTGCCCACTTTTCCACCTGGCCCACTCCCAAACCCGGATCTTGGAATTTCCAGGTGGTTCTGAAGTCTCATCTGACAGGACTTGCCCCCAGGACCAGTACCTGCTAGCCAATGCTGCAGCAAAAGCCCAACCAGCCTGTATTTACCTTAGCTCTTACATGCACCAGTGGATATGGTCACTTAGCCTAGCCTGGCTTTCCCCCTGATCAAGCTCCCATGCAGGCCAACCGGTATTGTAGCCCTACCCAGCCTGGTCTGCCCCCAGTGCTAGCTCTCATGTTCACCAGTGGGAGCAGTGGCCCAGCAGGGGAATTCCTGCAGACCTTCTACTGGGCTCGCTCCTCCCCCGGGTCTTATGTGTGCTGATGGGAGCTGTGGCCCAGACTGGCATGGCTCACCTCACCTCAGCACCTACTCACGGGTGCTGCAGGCTGGCTTGGTGCTCCAGCCTGTCCCTTGTTCCAGCTCATACTGGTGGGTACTGCAGCCTAGCCCACCCCAGCCAGCCCCCAGTCCCAACCCCAATGTGAACTGGCTGGTGTGGCCCAACCCAGCCTACCTTGCACCCTGCCCTGGTTTTCACACCTGCCAGTGGGTGCTGTGAACTGGCCCAGCGTGGCCCATCCCCAGACCTGACCCACACATATGCTGGCAGGTACTGTAACCTGGCCTGGTCTGGGCTGCTCCCAGCCTTGGTTCTTGAGTTCATCTACAGGTACTCCTTCCTGACAGGAGCTTTTTATTTTGTTTTGTTTTGTTTTTTTCCATTTTTTTAGAAAATTACTTAGCAAAGTTAATGCCTTAGAGACACCAATCTGGGGAAAAGTTTCAAGGGTATTACTTGAGTGATTTTATTATCTCTGAGATGTTGTTAGCTTCATTGCATCAGGGTTGAGAAAATCTTTCCAAGGTCTGTTGGCTGACCAGATCTGCCTTGGTGCATCCACAGACCCAGACACTTGTTGCAAAGTTTGGCCAGGAGAGCAGTCTAACCTTTCAGCTTTCCATCCTGACAAGGCATTGAATGTCTTCTGCTGGTCTAGGTGATGTGGCTGTCATGTCCCCAATGTCCACTGCGCAGACATGAACAACTGAGGAGGCCCAGTCCCAATATATGCACTCAAAGGTCAGACCACATATATTGTCATATTCCCTGTAGGCAGAGTTTGAGTCCAGTGATCTAGTTGGGGAGTTCCCCCCAAGGAAACCAGCCTCGGGTGATAGAATTGATACATGTGTCTGTCAGCCAGGGCAGGAGCAGGTTTGATCCATGGCCTGCACCAGGCCATGCACATACAGTGGATGCAGCTGCCTGGTCCGTTCTAACCCCATTTCTCTCATGAACTGATGGGCGCTGTGACATAACCCCAGCCCAGCCTGCCACAGGCCATCTTCATGCACATCAGCAGGTACCACAGCCCAGTCAGGGTGACCCCAATTACCCCTACCAGGCCTGCCCTCATCCCCAGTTTTCACATGTGTCAGCATGTGCTATGGCCTAGCCCTATCTGTCCATCCTGCACCCCATCTGGCTCGTGTACACCAATGGGTGCTGTAGCTTAGCTCAGCTTGTCCCATCCACAGACCCAGCCCTCACATATGCCGATGGGTGCGGCCGCACTGACCAGCCTGGACCGCCCCTATCCCTGGCTCTCCTGTACATCAGTGGGAGCTACAGTTCAGCAGGGAGGTACGCACAGTTCCCATTCCGGGTCCACTCCCAGTACTGAATCTTGCCATTGGGTGCTACAGCCTACCCCAACAGGCCTGTACGTATCTAAACCTGACTCACACTTACCCGTGGAAACAGCAGCCCAGTGGCATTAGCTCTTTAGAGAGCCCCATTTGCACACATGTGTGTGGGGCCTCTCTCCAGCTGCCATCTTCACTTCTGCCCCCTCAGTCATCTACAGACATGGCCACTGCGGCCCTGGAGAGAACAGAAGTCGAGAGCTGGCCTCTTGGGCACACACAGGGGAGCCTGGATGAGAAAAGAGTACAGCTGCCGGCTTTCAGGCCAAGTGCGGACAAGAGGCCTACCTTTGACTGGGATTCTAATTGAAGAAGACCTGTTCGGGGAGGGAGCAGCCAGGGTGGAGTCCTGGGACAGTATGGCTGTACCTGGGCCATGGGAGGCCGGAGTTCAACCTTAGAGAAGGGGTGGGGCCTCTGCCACAGCTTCCCTGAGGTATCATGGAGCCCTAAAGATGCCCCACCTAGGGCCCGGTGTGGTGGCCTAGTGGCTTAAGTCCTCACCTTGAATGTGCAGGGATTCCATATGGGCACTGATTTTAATCCGGCAACTCCACTTCCCATCCAGCTCCCTGCTTGTGGCCTGGGAAAGCAGGGACAGCGCAAAGCCTTGGGACCCTGCATCTGCATGGGAGACTCGGAAAGAAGTTCCTGGCTCCTGGCTTCGGATCGGAGCAGCACCAGCTGTTGCGGCTGCTTGGGGAGTGAATCATCAGACTGAAGATCTTCCTCTCTGTCTCTCCTCCTCTCTGTATATCTGCCTTTCAAATAAAAATAAATAAATCTTAAAAAAAAAAAAAGAAAGTGGAGCTCCAGACATGAACCTGTGTCCATAAGACCATAGGGCATGTTGCCAACTCAGACAGTTGATTAGCCTACATCGTACCAGCCCCTGGAACTTTTTTTTTAATCTATGTATTTGAAAAGTAGTAGTTTTTTTTTTTTTTTAAGATTTTTATTGGAAAGGCGGACATACAGAGGCGCGACAGAGATAAAGATCTTCTGTCCGATGGTTCACTCTCCAAGCAGCCACAGTGCGTGGAGCTGAGCCAATCCAAATCCGGAGCCAGGGCCTCTTCCGGGTCTCCCACACGGGGGCAGGGTCCCAAGGCTTTGGGCCGTCCTTGACTGCTTTCCCGGGCCACAGGCAGGGAGCTGGATGGGAAGCAGGGCTGCTGATATTAGAACCAGCACCCATATGGGATCCTGGTGCATTCAAGGCGAGGACTTTAGCTGCTAGGCCACTGCGCCGGGCCTATAGATATCAGAACTCTTATACACTGATAATGGAAACATTAAAATGATGAGCAGCTGGGCCCAGCGCAATAGCCTAGTGGCTAAGGTCCTCACCTTGCTGGGATCCCATACAGGTACTGGTTCATATCCCACTGATTCCTGCTTCCCATCCAGCTCCTTGATTGTGGCCTGGGAGAGTGACCAAGATGGCCCAAAACCTTGGGACCCTACACCTATGTGGGAGACCCAGAGGAGGCTCCTGACTCCTGGCTTCAGATCGGCTCATCTCCGGATGTTGCAGCCACTTGGGGAGTGAATCAGTGGATGGAAGATCTTCCTCTCTGTCTATGCTTATCTCCAATAGAAATAGATTTTTTTTTTTTTTTAATGATGGGCAGCTGCTCTGGGATAAGTTAGAATTACTGTGTGACACAGTAACCCTTTCTGGCTGTAGAATGGGAAGTGGGGCCTCGGGACCAACCTTGTGGCACAGCGGGTCAGTCTGCTACCCACACATCCCACATGGGAACATTAGCTGGAATCTTGGCTGCTCCACTTCTGATCCAGTTCCCTGCTGATGCACCTCTGAGGGCATCAAAGAACAGCCCAAAGTGCTTGAGCTCCTGTCACCCATGTGAGAGGCTGGAATGCGGTTCTGGGTTCTCCCAAATGCCTGCCCCATCAGAGCAGCTTGTTACATGGAGGAACGTCTGGAGGTCTGGTTTGCATGCCCCCAAGATGTAGAAGAACCAGGGTAGCTTGGGGAGCTCAGAGACAGAGGTCGGAATGGGAGAGCGCTCGGGACCTCAGACCCAGGGGAGCCGGCTACGGAGGGTGCGGCCGGGCACCCGAGACCCCTGCGCGGCATCCTACGCCTCCATCCGGCGCCCACCTGCGCTTGTGACTGCGCCTGCGCGGGGAGCCCGTCCTCGAACCCGGGCACCTGGCTGCAGGGCGGCATCCCAGGGCCCCGCCCACTGGCGTCTCCGCCCCCAAGTCCCGCCCACATTCAGAGACGATCCTCGAGGCCACGCCCATCGCTCCAGCCAATGGGAGGGCTGCGCGCTCCGCCACACGTGCGGCCCCGCCCCACTTCCCGCCGGGAGCGTGCAAGGCCGAGCCCCGTGGCGCGGCGCGGCGCGCGCGGGCGGGGGCGGGGCTGGGGGGCGGGGCGAGAGCCAGGCGGGACTCGGATTGGCCGGCGCCGCGCTCCGAGGGCGTCCGCGGGGGCGGAGCGAAGGGCAGACTGCGCGCGGATTGGCTGGCGCCGCGCTCCGAGGCCGTTAACGGCGGCGGGGCCGGCCGCAGCTCCAAAACAAAGGGCCGGCGGCCGGCGGGGCGGCGGCGGCGGCGGCGGGAGGATGGCTCGCGCCCTGCCGACGCGCCAACGGCCGCCGCGCGTCCCGGGCCTCGCCGGCGCCGCCTGAGAGCCGCGCCCGGGGCCGGATGGGCGCTGCGGGCCGGGCTGCCGACCGCCGAGCGGCCGTGAGTACGGGCCGGCCTGCGGGGCGGTGCGGGCGGGCCCGGGACGCACCTGTTGGGCGTGCGGGAGGGCGGGCGCCGCGGGCCCTGGCGTCCGTGCGCGCGTGCGTGTATTTTTATTGCCTTTTATTCCGTCCTGAGCTTCGAGGTTGTTCCCTGTGGAGTTCACTTGGGGTTTTTGCGAAGCCGCCCCCACCCCTGCTCTCCCCTCCTTGCACCTGTCCGCGCGCCCGGGGAGGGACGGGAGGACAAAAGAAGGGGCTCCCGGGGGGCGTCTGCTAAAGCGGGGAGGCGCGGGGAGGTGCGGGGAGGTGCGGGCAGCGCCTGGGCCGGCTGGCTCCCACCTGCGCGGGCGCGGAGACCACCCGCTGGCGGCACCAGGTGTGCTACCTGACGAGCAGGTGGGGAAGGGGCCCTTCGCCCCGGGCCTGCTCCGAGTGACAGCTGCCCTGGCCAGCTGATGCATCGGTCCCGCCCCCTCCGCGCTGCTTTGCGGGTGAAGGGACCCACCTCCACCTGCCCCTCCCTGGGCCGAGGAAATGTGAGCGCTTTGGCCCGCCCTCCTCTCTCCTCTCTTCCCCCCCTCTCCTCTCCATTCACCCCTCTCCCTTCTCCTGTCCCCCTCTACCCCCATCTGCTCTCCCCACTGCTCCCCTCTCCCCTGCACCTGCGCTCACAGGTGTGACAGGTTCCTGCAGAGCACCTGCGCCCTGCAGAGAAGGTCCTGTTGCTGCCGTCCCGCCCACCCCTCCAGGCCGGGGCGTGTTAGTCTCTGACTCGGGCCTTGGGCTACAATGTGTACAACGGTTTTCTCTTGGCCGAGGGCTCTTGCGCGGCTCCTGTGTGCAGCGACGTGCGCGCGTGCGTGGACCAGGGTGATCTGTGTCACCTCAGTGTGTGTTTTTAAAGATGTATTTATTTTTATTGGAAAGGCAGATATACAAAGAAAAGGAGAGAGAGACAGGGAGGAAGATGTGTTGTCCACTGATTCACTCTTCAAGTGGCCAAGCACAACGGCTGGTGCTGCACCGATCCGAAGCCAGGAGTCAGGAACTTCTTTCCTCTGTGTATCCCATGAGGGTGCAGGGTCCCAAGGCTTTGGGCCATCCTCAAGTGCTTTCCCAGGCCACAGGCAGGGAGCTGGATGGGAAGCAGGGCTGCCGGGATTAGAACCGGCGCCCATATGGGATTCCGTTACGTGCAAGGTGAGGACTTTAGCTGCTAGGCTACTGCGCCTGGCCCCTCAGTGTGTGGTTTTTTTTTTTTTCCTCTCTGGAAAGCCGATAATCATCCTCCTGCCTTAGAAACTGTCCCCTGACCCCTTGCTAAGTGTCATCTCACCTTAAAAAAAAGTTTTTTTAAAAAAAAGTTTAAGTGGTTAGATCTGATAATTTGGAACACCTTTGGAGGTTGGAGAAAGTTCTGAACAGCTGAGACTCGGAGCGGGATGGATTCTGTGAAGAAAAGCGGAACAAGACGACGAGCTTGATGATATTCCTTGCGCCTGGTGAGAACAGGCACCCTGAGCAGGGGTGGGCAGACCCCGGCATCTTGGCCCATCAGTGGGACCACTGGTGCCTGCGGCGCTTGGGGACCTGGACTGACTCCCCCCAGAGTTGGGGGGGTGTGACCACGGGCCCTGCCTACCCTGCCCCAGTGTGGTCCAGTTGTTTGGGATTCAGCAGCTGAGCCCCCGACACAGGGACTGTGTGCCCAGGCAATGCCAGTGGCGGCACTAGATGTCCTGGTCACAGCCAGGGGTGTGACCCCCTGTCGGCAGGTGGCAGGCAGGTGGCAGCATACCCTTGGATTGCACAATAAGCTGATGTGCCTGCTCCCGCGCTCACGGTGGGGGCAGGAGAGGCCGGAAGGGGCCAGGTGGTTTGCCATTGTGGGCCTCTGTTTTCCCAGCTTGCTTGACGGGTTCAGCAGGCCACTCTGCTGCTGTCGTGAGCCCCTGGGAACTTAGGGTCGCTGGCTGGACAGCAGGGTTGACCAGCTGCTGCTGGGGGCTTTGCCTCATTTCATCTGCACAGTTGCCTTGCCGGGATTGTGGAAGGGGCTGAGGCTGAGCGAGAAGAGGGCCAGCCCTCGCCAGCCCGGCATGTCACCTACCTGCGGCTCTGCTTGCTCGCTTCTTTTTTTTGAAAGGCAAGAAATATCTTAAGTCCACAGGTTCATTTTCCAGGGCTGATCCAGGCCAGAGTCAGGAACGCCATCCGGGTCTCCCAGGCACTTGGGCCATTGTCCTCAGCCTCTTTGGGGTGCATGGCAGTGTGGAGCTGGGTGACAGGTGGAACCAGGGCTGGGCCTGCCACCCCGGCCACAACAGCTGGTGTGGTGAGCAGGGGCCTCTCCTCAGCTGCTCCCTGGACCTGCGTGACAGCTGTGCTGGGGACCTGGCTGCCATGCGCGGCAGGGGCTTCACGGGCTGTGCCCTGACACCCTCATGCTCCACCTGGGGCCCATTCCCCCCAACCCCCACCACCTCGTGATAGCCTAGGGCAACTCCAGGAGGGCTGTGACGGGCCACACCAGGTGGGGAAGGTAACATGACTGCTGAGGGGCAGGGAGGCAGCCCTGGGACTAGGGGAAGAATGGCGACTGCGTCATGTGGACACAGTCTGATGAACAGGCTTTAAAATGAATATGAATGGGCCCGGCGCGATAGCATAGTGGTTAAAGTCCTCTCCTTGCACGCCCGGGATCCTGTATAGGTGTCAGTTCTAATCCCGGCAGCTCCACTTCCCATCCAGCTCCCTGCTTGTGGCCTGGGAAAGCAGTCAAGGACGGCCCAAAGCCTTGGGACCCTGCACCCGCGTGGGAGACCCGGAAGAGCTCCTGGCTTTAGATTGGATTGGCTCAGCTCCAGCCGTTGTGGTCACTTGGAGAGTAAATCATGGGACGGAAGATCTTCCTCTCTGTCTCTCCTCCTCTCTGTATATCTGGCTTTCCAATAAAATTAAAAAATCTTTAAAAATATGAGTATGAATGCTCAGTTTAGGAGAGAAACTTCCAGAACTCAGAGAACTGCTTTTGGTCTTAAAATCTTAGCATGGGTTAAAACCGGTTAAAGAGATGGAGTGCAGGCTCCTGGCTTCAGCCTGGCACAGCCTGGCACAGCCTGGGCTGCTGGGGGCACTTGGAGAGTGGACAAGCAGGGTGTGGGAGATCCTTGTCCTCTCTCTCTCTCAGGCTAGGTGGGACCATTTGGTGGAAACCCTGCTAGGACATGAACTTGCCTGTGCACCTGGGCCAGCCACCTGATGGTCAGTGCCCCTGGCCACATCGGGCAGAGGCCCCTGAGCAGGGCATGCTGTCCCTTGGGGCCCTGGGCCAGCCCAGCAACCCGAGAGCCTGCAGGTGGGACATGGGTGGGCTGGCCACTGCCGCTGCCAGGACCCCAAGTGCCTTGTGCTCAAATGAGTGAGGTTGCTTTCTGGAACCTTCTAGGGCCCTGTGGCATCTTCTGTGGCTGGTGCTGCTGCAGCCCCACTTGTATCTAGTTGTTCTTATGGACAGGCAGGCCTGAAACACAGGAACCGGCAGTTGCCACCTGCCAGCTCGGGTGCCCGTGGACAGAGCTCCCGGCGTGGCCCTGGGTGCTGGCACCCTGCTCACGCATGCCTGTCCCCCTGGGCATCCCCTGGCACTCTCCCTCAGATATACAAGGAGCTTTCTCTGGTCAGGGTTTTTTTTTTATTGTTATTGTTTTCACATGAGTTTACTACCTAAGTAACTTGCAAATTTTTAAAAAGACTTCTTTATTTCTTTGGAAGGGAGGTTTATAGGGAGGAGACACAGAAAAAGACCTTCCCTCTGTTGGGTCACTCCCGAGATGGCAGCAATAGCCAAGGAGGGGCCAGGCCAAAGTCAGGAGATTCTTCTGGCTCTCCCACGTGGGTGCATGGATCAGAAGTTAGGGCCAGGTTCCGCTGCTTTCCCAGATGCGGTAACAGAGGAACGTAACTGGACGTGGGGCGATCAGGAGTTGAACCGGTGCCCGTAGGACATACTGGCATCAAAGGTGGAGGTTTAGTCTGTTACGTCACAGTGCTGGCAATTAAGCAAATAGGTAAATCTTTTTTTTTAAGATTTTATTTATTTTTATTGCAAAGTCAGACATAGAGAGGAGAGACTGAGGGATGTTCCATTCTCTGGTTCACTCCCCATGCAGCCGCAACGGCTGGAGCTGAGCCAATCCGAAGGCAGGAGCCAGGAGCCTCTTCCGGGTCTCCCACACGGGTGCAGGGTCCCAAGGCTTTGGGCCGTCCTTGACTGCTTTCCCAGGCCACAAGCAGGGAGCTGGAGTGGCCGGGATATGAACGGGTGCCCATATGGGATCTCAGTAGTTGTAAGGCGAGGACGTTAGTCACTAGGCTACTGCACCAGGACTGAGGGCTCTGCTTTTACAGGCTGGAGGACACTGCAGGGCACAGGATGCTGGATGGGAAGTGGAGCTGCCGGGATTAGAACTGGCGCCCATATGGGATCCCAGGCGCATTCAAGGCGAGGACTTTAGCCGCTAGGCCACGCTGTTGGGCCCAATGGCGTCACTTCTAAGAGTGTGTGTAGCTCTTGTCCATGAACTACAGTCTTGGGGAGAAAACCAGGGGAAACCTCAGGCAGAGCGGTGGTGAGGACGCGCGAAGACCCGTGGCGAGCGGGAGGAGCCGGGCACACACAGTAACTTCAGAGGGCTTGTGGGGAAAAGGGACTAGGGGGCGCCCTGGGGTGGAGTGGGTCCATCTGCAGTGCCAGCATGTCCTCTGGGCACTGGTTCAAGACCGAGCTGCTCCACTTCCAACCCAGTTCCCTACTAATGGTCTGAGAAATCAGCAGAAAATGGCCCCACCCCATATGTCCCTGCACCCACCTGGGAGATGAGGAAGAAGCTCCTGGCTCCTGGCTTCGGACTAGCCCAGCTCTGGCTGCTGTGGCCATTTGGGAAGTGAGCCAGGAGCTGGACCTTCTCTCTCTTTCTCCGTAACTCTGGCTTTCAA